GAGGCAACATTACGCATTCAGCCACGGCTTCCTTCGCAGGACCTCTGCAGTAATGAATCAAATATAGCATCCTCTGTCCACTATCTTGCACTCTATCCTCTATGTAGTATTTGAACTGTTGAATAAACCTCCAACACCACCTTGAATTGCCATCGAAAGCCTCTAAGTCCACTCAAGGTAGGTCTGCCTTAACCACTGGTGCCTCACGTATGGGTGTGCTACTTACAATCCCGGCTAGGTAAATCTTTACCTTATCCTGCGGGTCAACCTGCACGTCAACGACGGAATCATCGTACGAATCCAGCATTAACTCCGATGCAATTCTTTCTCCATTTACTCTGCGTTAATCTGCGCTCGCAATAACGCAGCTAACTTCATTTTTTTATGCCTAGATGAGTCAGCGCCAGGAGATGAACCAATAGCTGAAGGATTCCCAGAACGACCGACTTGCCTCGATTCCTCCGGTAGATAGAGATCCATAAGCTGGGCCTTCCCCATCTTCTTCGATTTCGTAGATCGTTCAGTACTGCGTCCGTAGATCGTTGTGTACTAGATCCGTACTCCGTTGAGTACTGAAATCTTTGAGTACTGTTACGGCTATCTGCTTTCTGATTTTGAGTCACGCGTGCCAATCCAGGGAAACGAACAAGAAATCCGATTTCTGGAATCACGGTACTATTGCAAATATAATACTATACATATTCAACTAACCTCAACGGATTCTCCTCTGCAGATACCGTAGGGTTACAAAAATAAGGCGGTACAATTACCCGTCTGTGGATAAAGCGCAGATCACTACGCCTCAAAATCTATATCGTCACAACCAAACAGACATCGACGGCGAGCAACCACAAAATCACAATGTCCGACCAAAGTCCGTAAGAGTTACAAAAATAGTTCAGTAAAACAAGAAGGTTTCAGTTCATCTGGTCAAGGGGAATAAATATGGAGATTGCCTGTCACTTGGGGTTGGAAACGGGAGCACGCTGTTGGTAAGCTGTCTTCTACAAATACTTCTCCCGTGTCTATGATAATGCCAGACGGTATGCCACCCACAAGTTGGGTATAAACCTTATTATTCTTATTACATCAAGCACCGAAACAGAACGCTGGACGTTCATGCATAGATCATATTCACCTGCAGTCTTTAGGTTCCACAGAACTGGTACGAGTAATCATGTTGGTTGCTAAGACTAACTAATCTCGAGGTAAAAAACACGGAGTTTTTCATCTGTCTATTTGAGGAGAAGATACAGAGGAAAATTCGTTGTAAAAGTAATACTGCCACATATGTTGTATCCACAATGTAAGCTATAGCCACGGGACCACCCGCAACCTCCGCTTACTGTAAGTAATTCTATTTTACCGCAGGTAGGGACATTGTATTTCTTCCAATTGTAAGTGACAGTTGACCTTGAAAATTCTATCACCTTAAAAGATCAACAATGTAAATAATTCGATGAAAAGACCTAATAGCCATAAGCATCCTCAAATTTGATGTAATAAATAGGAAGTCCATTCCAATTCATTTCTGATTAAGGTTCGCCACCGGCAAACTGATAACTCAAAAACCACCGTAGTGTTAGTCGCCTCCTGATATTTTGGTTAGGTTTTTCCGGTCTGATGTGTCATACCGTCTAAGAACTGAAATAAACCCAAAGTCGACCCTGTCCTAGTACTAAATTAGACATGTTGAGGTCATTCAGATATTTGTGAAACTGCCCAGCGTCATCGTGCTGCTGGTCCTGACGACCTTCCAGCCACTCTTTTCAAGGATGGCGGTGGATTGCTCAGCCAGTGCCTGTCTAGCCTAGTTGGGTTTATCTGGGAGAAGGAGACCGACCCAGGCAACTGGGGTGAATCGATAGTGGTACCCATTCTCAAAAAGGGTACTCGCAGTGAACGCAGCAACCACAGCGCTGTTAGCTTGACGCCTGCTGTGACAAGGCTTCTGGCGTCACTGATTCTCCGTCGTCTTATGGCGGCACGCGAAGTCTTGACTCGTGAGAATCAAGCGGGATTTCGACCGGGTAGAGGCTGCGCTGACCACATTTTCACACTCCGTCAGGTGTTAGAGCAACGCCACATGTACAGACGACCCGCAATCCTGGTATTCTTTGACTTCAAAGGTGCGTACGATTCCGTTGATCGATCAGTTCTGTTAACTACACTTGCTCAACAGGGTACGCCCCAGAAGTTTGTAAACATAATCCGATTCCTATATTCACATACTTCTGGGCGGGTGAGGGTGTATGGTGAGCTCTCCAAAAGCTTCCCTACAAAAAGTGGTGTCAGACAAGGATGTCCACTCTCCCCATTCTTGTTCAACTTCGCCATCGATGAAATAATGAGGC